GCTCATCTTCTCTCTAACCTCTTGAGGACCAATGTGTATCTCAGTGTAAGTCTCTGGTATTGGAGCTTGTGCGTTAGTTTTCTCGTTACCAACAGGGTCGCCTCCTGAGACCCAGAGGACAGGGAGCCATAAGCCAGTTTCATCCTTCGCTCCTATTGTTTTATTTGTCTGCATCCAGCTAGATTTCATGATTCACAGATTTAAAAGCTACAAATCTCAGCAGCTTTGTTAAACATTCCAATTTCTGTTTGATCTGTTTTCATCACTTGTGTCTCAAGAACATTAACCAAAGTGAGAAGAACCAAACACATCCACACTGACATGTAAGCACTTTACCTCTAATCTAATCAGATATCATTAAACATCTGTCAGGTATTTGATGCCTCTGCTCTAAGAAATAGACTAATGCGCTAAAATGAGAGACAGTCTGAGTATAGAGGAGTAAGACTTGATGAAGAAGACTTCCGGAGCTTTTCAGGGTCATGTCCGGCAGCAAAGCAGCTTGTGAAAGACGTTCCTGAACTCCGTGTTGAAGACTGTGTAGATGATGGGGTTAACGGCGCTGTTTACATAACCCAGCCATGTGACCACAGAAATGAGGGTGGGACCGATGTCACAGGAGCGGCACAACACCTTGGTGACGTGGACTGTGAAGAAGGGCGTCCAGCAGGCCAGGAAGACACCTGAAAGGCAGACTGGTGTCAGTCTTAGAAGGACAAACAAGCAACAGAAAGGAAGAAAAATGCCTGTAATCACGATTCTTTGTAGACCACCAGTCTGTTTTAGGAGGATTAGGTGTGATTTTTTTTATTCTCCTTGGTGTGAAACTGTTACTGAGGAATTGAAGCAGCTTCCATGGAGAAGCAGTTTCTATTTTTAATGAAGCCACAGCGTGACTGCGCTACAGGAAAACCTGAAGGACATTTTGTGAAGAGAAGAAACTTCCTGCAGAGAGCGACTGATAAAACCTTAATTTATCTGATTAAACCTCAACTTATCTGATCAAACTTTAACTTGACTGATTTGCTTGAAACCAAGATTATTTTAGATTGATGCAGATGCAAAGAAATCTATTCTGTTGAAAACGTCAAAGGCCTTCCTCTCCGCAAATTACCGTAAAAAGAGACTGTTCACGTCAGTGGTGACTTTTCTAGCTAAAGAGAAGTTAATTATAACCAATAAAAGGAAATAGACGAACAGTGATCGGGGTTAGGGTTGATTATGTCTCATCGAGTGTCAGAGGTAGCACTGTTCTTGTTCTGATACTCACCCACAACGACTGGTAGGACCCTCATGGCCTTGCGTTCCCTCCCACTGACCCTGCTGGTCTTACTGGTCCTTCGTCCCCTCTTAATGGTGCTCCTTTTCCGGCCGTTCTCTCTACGGCTGCTTCCCTCCCTGGCCCCTGTGTTCTCGCCATTCGAGGCGCTGTCCATCTGAGTGGTCATTGGGTCGCTATCAGCTGCCATTGCTGTTCCGTCCTGGTTTCGCTCTGTAAGGGGGGCTGCACCAGGTGCTGTCGTGGGGAATGTGGACGGAGAGGTGGGGCTTAAAGGTGACACTGTGAATACAACCTTCCCTCTGCTGTCAGTACTTGCATCTTTCGCTCTACGCAGAGCTGAGCCAAGATGCAAAGAGAGACCTCTCCGTCCAACCCGGTGAGACCGCGGCCGGCTACGACTGCTCCAACGCCGCAGACCGCGGAACATCCAGTAATAGAGGAAGAGCATGACAGGACAAGGCACGAAGAACGAGCAGATGGACGAGTACACCACAAAGCGATCATCCTCCAGTTTGCACACCGTTGGGTCCCGGTTTGGCACCTGGTTCAGACCAAAGATGACAGGACTCGCCACACCCAGGGACAGCACCCAGGTTGCAGTGATCAGGGCCAGTTGTCGAACACTGAACTGGTTTCGGTTATATCTCAGGGGCACCACCACTGCGATGTACCTGCAATGTAACCAGACACATTGGAGGTTTGTTCTTAGACTTAGGATGATGTGGTTCAAACCCATAAAATACAAAATCATTGCTGCCAAAGATTCATCAGTTTTTTCTTTTTTAAGGGAAAAGTCCAGGTACTTTCAGAATACAAACTTCTGAAAGTACTTTACGTATAAAATTATTACATAATTTTCAATAAATGATCAGTGTTTTTAATTAAGAGTAATTTCATTTGAATGTGCTTTACTGGAGACATCCATATTTGTCAAAGAACACTACTGCCACCTACTGGTTAGTGACGTCACGGTGCGGTATCGACTTTTGAGCAAGTCTCAATGCTGTATCTGGTGTTTGTCACAATATGCTATTATCCATGATGGTGACGACCAGTGCACTATGTGAAGCAGAGAGTAACGGATTAATGACGTGTTTTTTTAGAGCAGGAATCCAGGTGGAAAAATGGTCCCAGCGTTCTCGCGTTACTATATTTGGGCAAAAATGGCCGCTCCCGGATTAGGTGATTGTGACGAAAACTCTTGTTTTTATTTTAGCTTTTTACTGGTTCGTGCTAAATTCATTAAATCACCATTGGTTATTCCTTGCTGACCAGACTTTTCCTTTAAAATTCCCTTCTTAATGTAATAAAATGCTTAATGAACAGTTCATATATTCTCTCTGCCTTTTATGTGTAGAAACATTTTCTCATTTGCAAAATGACTGCCTCTTCTCAGCAGTAAATATAGCCTGTCACCATCAGTACTAAAAATATATATCTGTAGTGTCAGTCGTGTTTGATTCACTGAAGTGTTTCATCAAATTTTCTTTACACCTAGGAAGTTGTTAATTGGGCTCTTTATCCCAGTCATACTGGAGACCAGGATGGAAATTGTTATCTCTACAATAGCTTCATCTCTAAAGAAACAGAATGACTAAGAAAATTGAATTTTTCTGCCTCTTGAACGATAAAGTGAGCCCTGAAGTAATGTCTTCAGGGACATTAAGACTGGGACAGTTAAATGAATTTTCAATTCTTGTTTTAGAGAGTGGTGATGAAGTTTTAATCACAGTGAGATAATAATATTAATGTAAATGTGATTGTTTCCATAGGGACTGGAAGTTTTAACGTTGATTGCTTCTGCCAGTGTGCTGCTAATGAAGGTGATCAGAAGCAGACATATGTGTAGTGATGTCAGGCTTCAAGCATCATCGAATACATTCAGTTCTAAACCAGAACCAGAAGACAGAAAGTGCTGTTATATTGGGATTTAGTTCAGGGTAGATACTGAGAGGCAGGTAGTATTTAGGATTTAATTTGGAGTTCAGAAAGAAAATCAGCACCACAGTTAGGAACCTCTTGAGAGAGAGTCAGGTTTGTGGCCCGGCAGGAAGGATAAGTGTGATTAAAAAAAAAAGCTACTAACCCTCTAAAGATTATGTCACTGAGACAGGTTTTAAGGGACCCCTTGATTCAAAGAGTCAGTTTTATTCAGAAGCTTCAGAAGCATCTCCTACAGGAATTCATTTTCAGTTAACTCCTGAAAAAGAGTTCTGCCCAGCAGAAAGGGTAGAACTCTGTGGTCAACAGAAACTTGGTTCAAGCATTGGAATCAGAAACAAGTGACAGCAACAGGCTTGAATTGATAGTCTGCACCCACAAACAATATAAAGCACAGGGAGGAGGATTCAGCTGACAAATTCAGGGGAAAAGCAGGGGTTGGAAATCAAGATGCAAAAACAAGCAAAGTGTCCATGAGATCTGAGGATAGGTTAATATCTAACGTGGGAAAGGCAGAACAAGGTAGTTAAGGAGGTAGAAAGAAGTTTGAGTTCAGAAAGGCAGGAGATCAACGCTGGACATTTATTCACTAAGGGCTTTCAATAATCTGGCAAAGCTTGTCAGCCAAAGGGCAGTATATAAAGCCAGGATCACAGGTGAGACCAATAATGTGTGATTAGGGTGAAGGCACAAAAGATGCAGATGAAAAACATTATTAAATTAAATGCAGCACAGAAAGGAGCAGAGGCCAGCAGGGGCAGTACAGACAAACAGAGCAGAATCAAGGCAATTTCCACAAGGGGTTTTCTACAGAACACCACCTATTCTAATAACATTGTCTATCATGCCATCTGTACATCTGTTGCCTGTTGTTTTAACAACATAGCAGTTAGCCATGATTAATTTACCATCATTTCCTGGACTCTTACATGAGACCTGTTAGTGGCTGTAGGTAGTATAACGGGCTGTTATACTGCCATATCATACTGCCGCAGAAGTGTGTCGCAGTGAGCCTGTAGCGGGTATGATGCAGACATTTTTGATTTAGACTAAATTTAGAAGTTTTGTCTGCGCTGTATTATTCCACGCCACAATGCAAGAGGGACAATCACAAACTAGCTGTGGGTCTAGATACGGCCGAGGCGGTGAGGAGGGGCGGGTAAATTTGTCCGACAACGGAGGGACATGAGGGCGAAAAAGAGCGGGGATCCAAGTGGAAAAAGGGTCCCAGCGTTCTCACGCACCTCACTGTTCTAGCTGATCCAACTTCACGAGTCGTTTTCCGCAATGTCGGTCATACAAACAAAACAAGCCGGTAAGATACTAAACAGGAAATACGCATAGTGTAGAGCAGATGTAGATTTGACCAATCAGAGGCCTCTTGTCGGCGGCACTGTCTGCGGTCACCTACAATTTGGGAGAGGTGCAGCAGAGTGTCTGCAGAAGGGGTGGGGACGTCCCTGCGTTTACTCCGACACCTACGCAGATGACCTAATTTTAAAGTATTAATCAGTGGTAGAGAGCTCTCCCACATTCTTCTGGTTGGTTGTGCACCATTAGGTATAATATATGTATTATTAGGTATATGTTGGATGCTTTTCCACTATCAAGCCACCGTAGGTCTAATCTGGACTTCATCAGGAGTGTTTTTTCTTTGAGGAAAGCTTGCCTTTGTGGGCTTTTCTGGTTTGCACAGCAAGCTCACAGGAGAAAAAGAACACTTTCATGCTCCAGAGTTTTTTCGGCAGGTTTTAACTGAATCACAACAGACTCTTTAACATAAAAAGTCAGATTTCCAGGTGATGAGTCCTTTAAAAAAGACTCAAAAGGATGTAAGGTTTCAGAGGTAGGACTTGACAAGAATTTTGACTCAGGACTTGAAGTATGACTCTAGATTTTTAAAACAATGACCTGGTCCTAAGCCTGGGATGAGATCCTGGACAAGGGACTGAAATGAGCTTCCTCAGTTGGATATCCTGCCTTAAAAAGTAGGTAAGAACTTCATTGGTCAGTGATTTGATTGAACAGAGCATCTAAGTTACTGCTACAGTAGTAACCATACAAAATACCCCCACCTTCCTTGATGGG